CCCTCACCTTGACCCCAAATTTCCATTAGTCAAAGTTCTTCGTCAGGATTAGGGTATTTAGTAGTACAAGTATTTAATGTCAGGCTATAATATAATATCCACTTAACACCAGTTGAATCGAAAATTTTAGTAATTGGCACTTACACAAATGTAACAAATTTCCGCGTAATGTAACATTGTTTTTTTTTTTTTTGTATCAATTCGAAGGTACTTTCATTTTCGAGACGTTCGATGTGCAATAATGATGCTGGAGCTTCCGGAGCAGCCCAAATCCTCGTTGTCGCCCATCAATACCGAATCGAACAGCCCCAAGGTGCAGGCTGCCCAAGCTGCCGAAGAGCCGTCCGCAGAGCTCGTCAATATCGTGAGCTGCGAAACGGCCAGCTCCTCGCTCGGGAGCTGTGAGCGCATACAGCGCATACGTTGGGCCGACTGGATAGCCCGTATCATCAGTTGGACAGACGAGCTGGGCCACTACGTGCGACAATTTCTCGCCTATGTGGCGGCGAAATTCCGTTCAGTTTTCTTTCCGGGCGATAGTTTCATATACCGTGAGCCGCCGCTATCGAACGAGAGCAGAATCCAATTGGAGACAGTGCCGCGCAAGACACTGATACTGGATCTAGATGAAACTCTGGTACATTCCTGCTACCTGGACCCGGACACTCACGATGTGGTTGGCTGCACGTTTGTGCCCGCAACAGCCGTGCCCGATTACATACTGAACATACCGATCTTAGCCAACCTAGGCCCGGTTGAATTCCAGGTGTTCAAGCGGCCCTATGTTGATCTATTCCTAGACCTGGTCAGCAAGTGGTATGACGTGGTCATCTATACGGCCAGCCTGCAGGCGTATGCCAGCATTGTGATCGACAAACTGGACGCAGGGCGTGGCATCCTGCAGCGACGCTACTATCGCCAGCACTGTGTCAATACGTCGTCGTTGGTTAGCAAAAATCTATTTGTGGTGAATCGGGATTTGAATAGCGTCCTCATCATCGACAACTCGCCCAGTGCGTATCGGGATTTTCCGGAGAACGCTCTGCCCATCAAGAGCTACATATACGATCCGAACGATCGGGAGCTGCTCAATCTGCTCCCATTTCTCGACGCGCTGCGTTTCACGAAGGATGTTCGATCGATTCTCAGGCGACGTGAACTCACCTCCCTGATCAACTCAGAATAATTCACACACAACACAACAATACAAATACAACTACATACACAATACAGAGGAGCTACATACATA